GGGGATAAGTCCCAGGGAGAAGCACTTTAAGAGGAAAAACAAGGGACCAGGAAACTCGATTTTAAGTTCTAAAGTAAAAAACCCATTACCTGATTTTAGAAGCGCCTTTGTTTCTGACCTTGAGAAACACTGCTTCTGGCAAGGAATATGGAAAATACCATAAACTAACAAAAGAATAAACAAATCTTTCTTGGAAGAAGTACAGCCGGCATGCTCCTTGGGACCACAGATGGGGAGACTTTGTCTTGCATACATTGGACATGTTGTCAGGAAGGAACATGATGGAGAAGGGGAAGGACATCATGCTTGGTAAAATACAGGGGTTGCAAAAAGAGGAAGACCTTACAAGATGGATTGACACAGTGGCTGCCACAGGGCTCAAACATGAGAACAACTGTACGGAGAGCCCGAGACCGGGCGTTGCTTCGTTCTGTCATACACAGGGGTGGCTAGAAGTCAGAACTGATTTGATGGCACCTAGCAATATACATGTATAATTTACTTTTCTCAACAGTGTTTAATTCTGTACCTTGGGTTAAACAAATAATACTGTCAATAGAATTACCTTATGCCCTACGGGGATGATTTATATTGTTCTCTAACAAAATGATAATGATGTCTCTAAAGTGAACCAGGAACATATATAAACCATAGATATATGAATGGATTTGAACTTACACTTATTGGTACTCTTAATCTAAGAACAATTCGTTGTTGTCACATGGATGGCCTTACTGGATACTCACTCACCCTCATGAAGAGATTACTGAAGATATGGGTACCATAGTAAAGTATGATGAAGAAATCAGATGGTCCTTGCTGTAAGAAAGAATAGTGCCTGGGGTCTTAAAGGCTTGTCTTAAAACAAGTAAACATTTAAGGAAAGTATAAGCTAAGTTCACATGGGAGAAGCACACCAATCTGCGTGATCCAAGGGTTGTAGATAATAAAATTCAAATCCAAAGAGGGAATGATACCAGAACTTAAACTCTGAACACATAGTTTACAGAAGGGTGTGAATGGCAGTGGAAGCTCAAGCCCCATCTGCAGGGTCCCCACAGGGATTCAGCCTCTGGGGAATCCCCTCTGACCATAGTCCAGGGACATGAATAACCTTGCCATCAGACAGAGAACACTGTAAAGTCGTGTGTTCGCCTGGGCAGACCAGAGAAACAAATCCACAGAAACTCATATGTATATGAGACAGTTTTATATAAAGGGGAAGTGTACATTCGGAAAGCATCCCAATCCCGTCCAGTCCAAGCGCCTAAGTCCGACTTAGCCCATATGTCCGACACCAATCTACAAAGTCCTCCTCAAACTCACAAAACACACAATGACGCCAAATGCAGGAAGATCACAGGCCACTGGGCAGAAAGTCATTGAATCCAATGGTGGTGTAAGCATCTCTGCACTGACAGGGGTCTCCACGTGGCTTCTCCAGCACCCACGGCTGCATCAGGGTAGGTCCATGTTGCTTCTCCTCCGATGTCTCACAGGAAGTGAGCCTTGCCGGCTGAAGCAGGGAACTGGCTAGGGCAGCTGCACCCTGGTTCAACCATCAGAGAGCAAGAGACCCAAGAACTAGAAGCCATTTATCGCTCCACCCTCCAATTAAGCCCACATGTATTTATTGGCCAGGTTGGCACAATAAACCTTAACTATCACAAGTCAATTATGGCCGATGTAGTTCAGTTAAAATGTCACATCTTATTATTTGATCTCCCTTTTGACCCATTTTAAAGTTGTGTCAATTTTTAATATTTTGTTTCTTTCCCACTGATGTTTTCTCTGTTTTTTATTGTTGGGAGTTATTTGTTGCTATTTTTATTTGTTTCCTGTTTTTCTTTTGTATGATTTCCTATATATGAAAGCAAGGAGAGGTAAATCTTTTTATATATATAAATCATCCTGTTGGGGGCTGTTATAGCTCTTATAACAATCCATACATCAATGAATCAAGCACATTTGTACATATGTTGCTATCATCATTTTCAAAATATTGTCTTTCTACTTGAGCCCTTAGTATCAGTTCTTCTTTTTTCTTTCCATCCCCCACCCTCTCACCCTCATGAACCCTTGATAAATTACAAATTATTATTTTCATATCTTACACCATCTGCTGTCTCCTTCCACCCACATTTCTGTTGTTCGTCCTCCTGGGGGCTGCGGTGGGGTTAATACATTGATTCTTCCCCTTCTCCCCCCACCTTTTCCCTACCCTCATGGTATTGCTACTCCCATTACTGTTCCTGAGGGGTTTATCTGTTGTGGATTTCGTGTGTTATCTGTTCCAGTGTACATGCTCCAGTATAGCTGGGGTCATGATAGTTGGGGGGAGGAAGCATTAAATAACTAGAGGAATGTTGTGTGTTTCATTGATGTTATACTGCACCCTGGCTGGCTCGTCCCTTCCTTGTGACCCTTCTGTGACCCTTCTGTGAGAGGATGTACAACTGTCGACAGATGGGCTTTGGGTCTCCACTCCAACCCGCCTTGATCACATTGATATGATTGTTTGTTTTGGGTCTTCTGATGACTGATACCTGTTGACACCCATCAACACCTCATGATCACACAGGCTGGTGTGCTTCTTCCATGTGGAATTTGTTGCTTCCCAGATAGATGGCCACTTGCTAAACTTCAAGCCTTTAAGGCCCCAGATGCCATACCTTCTAAAAGCCTGGCACCATCAGCTTTCTTCACCACATTTGCTTATGCACCCAATTTTTCTTCAGTGATCCCCAATGTCCATCTGTTATCTTGACACTTAACATACAAATATATGTACATAGACCTATATCCCTATCATTATACATTAATATATTTACACATATACATGCCTATATTTATACCTCTATAAATGTCTTTTGCCTCCTAGTTCTTTCCTCTATTTCCTTTAACTTTCCTCCTGTCCCACTATCATGTTCGACCTTCATTCAGCTCTCAGTAATTCCAGAAAAGTAAATCTTAAAGAGATAGTACCTGCATTAATAATTACCTAACGGGCATTGCCATCTGACTGGAAAAGACCCCTATTTATACCCATTCCAAAGAAAGGTGAACCAAAAGAATGCTCAAATTATAAACACTATCATTGATATTACATGTAAAATTTTGCTTAAGATCATCCAACAACCGCTGATATAAAATTTATATAAATATACAAATGGTTATATATGACATATATTTGTTTTAGATGTGTGCTATGTGTATGTTTGTACATATATACCTGTGTATATATATGTACTATATATATGGTAGTGTAGTGGGTTATTCATTGGGCTGCTAACCACAAGTTCAGTAGTCTGAATCCACCAGATGCTCCAAGGGGGAAATATGAGGCTAATCTTCTTCCATAAAGATCTGCAATCTTAGGAACCCTAGAGAACTGTCCTACTTTGCTTTATATGGTTGCCACAAGTTGGAATTGGCTGGATAACAGAGTTTTTTAAAATGACAGAATGAGTAGATATACACACAGATAGCAACGTTACCAGGGATAGGTGGAAGAAGGAGGGGGAATCACCTTCAGGACAGTAGAAACTTGTTAAC